CACGCGGTCCACATATTCTCACCTCTGAGTTATAGTCGGCGAGTATCCATGGAAACACGGGGTACTGCATAAGGTCGTTATAGGAACGTCCTGCCAGTGTATTAAGATGCATTAGGTACTGGAAGTTGGTGATCTCGCCACGCTGTCAAAATTAATCAATAATTATAAGACAGTCCTTCTCAGGATTACATTCACCCGGATGATCAAAATACTTCAAAAASCAATTATGATACTAGAAACGAGCTTTTTTAAAGGCCGATTTACATGGTACGATTATTCCTCAAACCGYCGCACGCATGCGTACTACAGAAGTCCACAACTATGAAAACTATGCTATTTTAACCAATCAGAGCGCGCGTTATATTTTTGATATAACGTAAGATATCATACCTCCCATCGCTGCGTGACAGATCGCTCGCCCATCAAAGTATTGATGATACCAACACTGAAAGATGAAAAGCGAAAGGTCATTAAGAACATGYGGAGACGAGGCATGAGGCAAACWKTCAATYAAACTCACCCTGTCTCGACGTCTGTATCTCGTTTCATGCCGGATATTGAATCTTCAGCATTGACAAGAAGAGTAGGAGCTGTAGCAAGRAACCTGAAGAGAAGTAAGTGATCTATAASTCACTTTGACAATTGACAGACAGATAGGTACACAGAAAGACAGACAGACAGATACAATGACTGAAAGGAAGAGGCAGGGAAGCAGGCAGGCGCATACAATAAAAAGCGAAGCAAGAAACGCTGTGTAAATAAAAGTTCAAGTGACTTACTTTTCATATACTTTGTTTCTAACAGGTTTGGGAAACACAAGAAAGTGGTTACGGCCATCGCTTGAAAATACCTCTAAGGCTGTTTGCTGGAGAATTAACAGTTAAACAAATTAGTATAGGAAATTCCACGATCTCGAGCACAATTCGGACTTTATAGGTACGAGATGTTTTGAAAGTTTCAAAATCGGACGAGCCTTTAGGCAAGTTCAATTTGAGAACTTCCAAAACATCACGAGTATCTATAAATTCCCAATTGTACGAGAAGATTGTGCGATTTTT